ATATATATATATATATGTGTGTTATTTATTTCCGATGTGCATGATTAATTATTATATTTCGTCAAGTCATCATACTTCTTTTTATTATATTATATTATAGAGAATGATTTAAAATAGATGACAAAAGATGACGAATAGATTAATTTATGAATATCTGATCTCTATGTAGTTAACAAACCTCTTTTAGAATTTCTATACAGGATATAATCCCAAAATTCGTTGACTTAAAATACTACAATAGTAAGATAGTTCTCGACAAATTAAATAAAAAAGTTATATATTTATAAATTTCTATTTTAAGCTGTAATTCTTGAAATAATAAGAATTGAAATATGATCAATTACAAAGTATATTTAGATGGCCACGTGTGAGTCGCGCGTGCGGTAGTATTAGTAAACACAACATTATGACTTGAGCTTTTGTACAGTTGACGTCGCTTCTAATCTGCTTTTATTTTATTCATATAATGAATATCGTTTTAAAAGTTTCATTAAATTTAAATGTTTTATTATTATATACACTTTATTAATTTTTTTCTACATAACTACACTGTTAGAAATGCTTCCTTTACGTGTAAATGAAGCTCGTGATTATAAATGAAATTAAAAGTAACGAACGATTTAACTGAAAACTAAATTACAGTAGTTACTTAAATAATGTAATGAACGTATGCATTAAATTTCACAAAATTTTATGAAAAATAATTAAATTTAATGTATTTTAATGTCATGAAATTAAATTCAAATTGTGTAACTTAAAATACATTAAATTTCATGAAATTTTTAATAGTGTACATTAAATGTAATTCAAGAACATTTCTAACAGTGAGTTATAGATTTTTATTGTAATTCTGGTCTCTCTTTGGAATCTGAGTCACTCGACCTTGTAATCAGCGATATTCTTATTATTTCCCAATTTGGAGCGTAAGAAACAACTCTTATAATTTTGTTCACTGAGACTCAAAAGAAAACCGAAAATTTTGAATCATGTAAGAAGAATATATTAAATTATCATTTCGATTACTGCTTGATTCTCATTCATCTAATACATTTTTCTTTATTAATGATGAGGACGCATTTCGGCGTCTACTAACACTTACACACGGAGAGAATTTTCTTTTAAAATTTGTCCTGAAAATATGGTATACAATACAATACAATATTTTCAAGATTTTTACCATGTACGGTAAAATTAATCAAACTTATTTTATATTTTATTGTAATTTTAATGAATGAGAGAGATTTACAATTCTTCAAAATATAATGTTGTCCCACAGCTATCATATTTTCAGGGTAAATTCTAAGAAAAGACTCTTTCCGCGCAGGTAATCATAATATTTTGTAATTGGTCATCTAAACCCCTATCCCAGAAACTATTGCTTAAAATAAAAATTTACAAATAATTTTTCTTATTTAATTTTTCGAAAATTGAAATACTAAGAGCCGGTTGTTCCGATTTTTTCAAATAAATTATGTGGTAATTTATCTATTGGATAAACAAAAGAGTAAAAGAATAAGATCATAAGAGAGTAAGAGGGTAAGATAGTGAGCTGAAGTTTACCAAAATAAACCAGTGAATTAAAATTAAAGTAAAATACGTTTAGTAAAATTAAAATTAAAATAATACTAAGTAAAATTAAAATACTATCTGGTTATAGTATTCTGAGTTGTACATTTTGAAACACTTTATATAATGACTGAAGAATTCTTCCTTTCTCTTTAAAAAAATTCTAGAACTTCTGGTGCAATTCAAGGAGAGTTCCGACAAATAGAATTACATGGATTTCGCTGTTCTTGTTTCAGAATCGGAAGTGACAGGATGTCAAGGCTATTACGCAGTAGATCGGGAACGGAATCGCCTCGTTCGTTAGACAACATGCGCAATCGTCAAGTTTCTAGTCCTATGAGAACGTCAGGAAGTGTAAGTCATGAGTCTACGCTCAAACTCAATTTGTCTGAAGGGAATATTTTGCTGATATCTTACTAACTATAGGTATCATCCTCGTGCGTCGATTCCGGTGACGAGGCCAGTCTCAGGATAGACCGCGGCACATATCAGTACATGTTCCAGGACATCGTCTCCATAAAGACGATGCTCCTGAAGCTCAAACGAGTTCTTCAGGAGGTACGACAGAAGCATAATACACGCTTGCATTTTACCTCGCTAAAAATTGTGCACGTCACATGTCACATCGCTTCTTGCGATCGTCCACATAAATATGTTTCACGCGTTTTAAGCGCAATGCCGAAGCAAATTGAATTTTAGCTCCAGGCCCGCCTTCGATTTCCATCATATACACGTTATCGACCACAAGCATTTTATTCCGTTATCCATGTACACGGTGCGTTTATATTTTTACCTATTTTTATTAACACGATCTTTTTTATTTTTCATTTTTGTCGTCGTCCTTCCTGATTTTGCGTCTCAAGTCAGGAGAGAACGATTTGACGAGGGTACGTTGCATTGATTTTCTTTGCACATTTATTAATTTACATCACCTTATTTACATGCATGTGTTTGTGTATTTATTTAATTATTATATATCATGTATAATATATACATTTTTTATAATATATTATGTACTTTTACTTACACGGAATCGAGTAAAAAATTATACATATGAAAGTTGCAATTATACAAAAGAAAGCAGTATATGAAATTGTAATTACAAGAAGATATGTGAAAGTTATAATTGCAAGAAGTAGACTCAATCCTCATTCGAATTCTACTGTTTTACTCGGTCCCGATAGCAAATTATGAAAATTATCGCCAACACTAAAAATAAATCTGTGCACTAATATCTGATATTGATTTTTAGACAGAAACTCTCAACCCATTCGATAATCCGAAGGTGAGTTCTTATATCTCCTATAAAAAAGTGCTCAGAAAATAGATCTAAAAATAACTTAGATTTTCGTCTTTAATTCTGCTTAATTGAAGTTGACGTTAAGTTAAATTAGAAATGACGTTATCGGTATTATCGCAGAATGGCCTCTTCTGTAACCTGAACGAGGGTGGAAGTAACATGACTGACGTGAGCACATCACCGGGAAGTGGTGGTAGTAGTATTGCGGACGAATTGGCGGATCTGAGAAGGCAAGTGGTGTTCCTTCAGGGTCAAGTGGAGGACCGAGATCGCACCATACAAGTGCGGGATCGTACCATCGAACTACTTGAGGTAAATAACGAGGTAAATCCCACTCGCGATTAACTATACCGCTCTGTACCGCGAAAAGCTCGTCCTCAATGGAAGTCTAATCGGTAATCATCCTCAGAGCACTCTTTATTATTAATTGAAGCGAATCGCATAGAAGTGATAATCCAATGTTAACCTTCGCAGCTCCAGATGTCCAAGCTTCAAGAACCTAAGAATACTCAAAGCTGTACTTTGTCGACACGCAACATCAACGTCTCCTCTGGAGATACTTGTAACGCCGCTACTCAAACAGAGAAGGTATCGCTTCATCGAATCTTTCAATCTCTTTATACGTACTTCACATCGTTTTATCTTTGTATTGTTACGATCATAGTAATCGCTTTTGTTTTGTGATTGCATTTCGTGATTCATTACTATTAATGTTCTGTCTTATCGTCATTCTCTCGATTAAAAGGAAATTGTTTGATTGCGGCTTTAGACACGTCCAGTATCGGCGGGACCCTCGCTCCTACAGTCACTCCCACAAGATGGTGTCATGGGGCCTCTCGTTAGGTGAGAATTTATCCTTTATTAATAATTGTTACACGTTCAAGTTCTAATATTTATAATCTTCATTCAACATACATTAATTTTGTAAACAATTAATACCATTGATCATCGAAAATTACATTTACGTAAATTATTCTTGTATCACTAACACAATCGCGTTTTCAATATCTTCTCTATCATGTGCATCATAAATAATAATGTTCTTTTTGCTGCTCTGGTCCCGCTCTTTGCTCGGGTGATTCCGCGTGACGCAGCTTCAGGATCGGGAAGGTAGAGTGCGTCAGTCTGTGTGACTTGTTATTGGGATATGTACTCCTGTCTGCATTTAACGCCCTTATATTCATGCATCTCTTTTATTTTCGTGCCACTTGTTTGACAATTCGTTATTAATAATTGCGTTCACATTTTGCATGGAATCGAGTAATTTGACTTCTCATTTGCTTCACAATTTCCGATTGATCAAGACAAATCCTGTCAGAACAAAATGATCGAGTTATTATAAATTGCTACATTTTGTTATAACAGCTTGATTATTTTATACAAAACATGATTATTTTATAAAATATAATAGTTTTATATATAAATTGTATTATATTTTATAGCAGTAACAACTATTCAACAAAATTATAACTTTTTGTTTTATTTTATCATTTTTTATTTTTTATTCAAGCTTGTCATGTCTTCGATCAATATCTTTTTTCTTTGCGAAAGAAAATAACCAAGTGACTGCATTTTGATTGAAAGCCTAATGATCGAATAAATTCTAATGTAATTTAGAAAATATCTTTAACTATTTGAATGTAGAAAGATTCGAATGTAGATTATTGTGCCGTTTACATTTGTAAAACTAATGTTTCTGGCATGTTGTAATAACATAGTTCATTTTTGTTTTAATGTTAATGTAATAATTACATCTTGACATTCCCAATTTCTTGCGATAAAATACTGGATTTATAATTCGTAATGTTTCACGCTGCCTTGATTAGCCATGTGCGGTAAGTTTTGAATTTTTTTCATTCGATCAACTCAGAATTGTTACTTGAATCGAACTTTTACGTCCGCGATCTCTATTTCTCACAGTAATAACTTCTCGATTGCAGTTGGAGTGACTCGTTGGATCGTCAGCGACCATCACTGCTCTCCGAGCTTAATTCCGCCGGGAGCCATCGCAAGCCAATCGAACGTTTACCTCATACGCTAAGACTCCGTCAAGAACAGACTCCGACACGTCGCATCAACATGCATGCGAGAAGACACTCGTCAGAATGCGTGTCCGGCTCGCCCACCAAGCCGAAGAATTGTATAAAATCGCCATGCGATTTGAACAACGCAGAACAACGTGACGCTAAGATAGAAGGAAACACTGTCAAGTCTCTCATTCCGACACCTAGAAAACTACGGCTTTAATGACACGCTGATTATATCGATTTTCTTTGCGTATAGCAACGTTTCTTTTCGTTCCAGACGTCCGTATCCTTTAATTAAATTCTAAAGTACAAAAAACAAAACCTTTGAAAGACATTGATCTCTTTATGGACAAATCATTTACATGAAATGTTTTATTTGATTTTTCATTCAGTAAACCTAAAACGCCTAAATCGAGAATGAGTCTGTAATTAGAATGATTATGGACTTATTCAGGTTTACTGAATGAAAAATTAAATAAACATTTCGTGTGAATAATTTGTTCGTAAGGAGATCAGTATGCCTTTCAAAGATTTTCTGTATTTTAGAATTTAATTTGTATATAATTACTCAATCGTATTTTCGCCAGACTGATTCGGACGTCCAAGATATCGTAAAATGATCTCGTTTTATCTGCTCGTACTCGTAATTAGTTCTCTGCGCGACATAATGTTCACGTCTTACGCGTTAACAATGATGTATGTTATTTGATATTATGCGTCTGATATAATTCGCCATAATATTTATGTAATGTGGTGCAGAGAGTGTCGCGCGTAGCCATCTATTCCTGAGGATATTTCGGACAGTGTGTAATTCGCGTCCACGCGCATTATAGGTATGGATACACTTAATTGTTAATATTAGTAAATTTCATTTCTTCACTTAAACGTAAATTTATCGAGCAAATTTTCTTTCTATAGCTAATTCGCTGTAATCAAACGAAAATTAGACGCAGTTAATCATTGTTAATAATCACAAAAAAGCGTTGTATTTTATTTGTCATTGTCATTCAAAGATATCGCAAATACGTTTGGATAATTTTGAGAAAGTTGCATGAATGTAACTTCGGTTTGTGGATATACCTTGTGACAAATAGATACGGATTATAATTAGTGAAGTCAGGGTATTATGTAAATTCCAGATAATTTTAATTTATTGTGTGCTTGGTATATGCTTGGTGCTAGTAAGTTCGTATTCGATATTATAAGTAAATTCGTATATGATATTTAGATTCTCTTGTCTTTCGTGTAAATCGAATAAATCCACGAATAAATCCAATTCAAATCTTCTAATGTTAAAAACTTTAGTTCTTGAGATTCAAAATCGTAATGTAGTTCGAGTTATTTTTCCGAACTGTAATCTCACAGATTATATATAATTTTTTTAGATTATATACTCTTCTAATAAGATAATTGAGAATCTTCTAATAAAATAATTCAAACAATGTGCATTTAAAAAAATATACATGTTTATATATAAGCCTTTATTTTCTATTAAAAAGATAAATGATAACAATAATTATTACAAAATATAAACACAAACATAATTTCATAAGTATTTTTTCGTCCGCGTTGTATGATATTCTGCAGTATTATAGCAAAACATTTCACATAAAATGAATAATATCTGGAGATTAACGAATGTCAGGAGAAACTAGATATTTTATGATCATTGTATTATATTTATTTGTTCATACATTTAATTTATATACTAATTATATTTGAAAATAAGAACGGAAGAAAAATGAGAGAGTGAAAGTGAAAAGAAGAAAGAGAAATATATATATATATAAATATATAAAATTTCATTAATTTTTTTAAGAAATATAAAATAAAATGTGGAGAATTAGAGAAATCTTAGCTTTTCCGCAGAATTATCTTCGCAAGATGCAGTCAAATATTTATAGAAATATACCGAGTAGTTCAAATCCACTTACTATTAATAACGAATACAAATTCATAGATCTGATATGGGATAAATTAAATGGCAATTTTATTGATATTATCGATGAGCAATCGACATTGATGTTAATCGCCCGCCACAGCTACACCTCGGAAAGCGAGCCTGTGACTAATGCGAATGATTTTAAAAATTCTGTCGCATCGTATAAAAGTTATGGTAAATAAAGAGCATACGTAATATAATGATTACACGTTTATTTTCTACATCCGACGACCATTATTATTGATATTTTTATTTTCGCAAAAGTCATAATGTAAATCGACTTGCATATCGATAAGCGAACTTCTCTATGAATTCTGTCATTGTTTTAAAGTGTCGCTTTGACGTAGCGACATACACATTCTATACTTTTTCTCATAAATTTGATACGGCAAAAACTTTATATTGTCAAACTGACGAGTGTCAACAACAGATATCGCTCTAATAGTAATTCTGTATATATACATAAAAGGACAATGTGTACATTCGCAGAGGTACGTGCTGTTATTCGATATAGTTGATTGAATCGCATTGACTGAGTCGCGTGTTGCAGGAAACTAATTGGTCCTACATTTGGGATGCGATGGGAGACCTAAGCGCTGTGCCGCAGAAGAAGAGTATGCGTATTTTCTATAATATACCTTTTTAACACAAAATGTGCCAGTTCGTCGTTAACCGGAAACAATTCTAACAGTCGTAGATTATCTCCTGGAGCGTTTGGAACACGGTCATATTTACACGTGGGTCGGCACTCTCCTTTTAGCAATCAATCCCAGCGGCGAGATCATCACCAAGGACATTTACGATCTCTCGCAAACTCACGAGTATGATAATATATGCGATGTGAGCTGTAAGGAAGTGTCGCCTCACATATTCGCCGTGGCTGCCCGGGCGCACTACAGGATAGTTCAGAGTCTCGGAAAACCCAGCCAGGTAAATCCAACTGTCTGAAGATTTGAGCACAATCTTCTTTGTGCATTGAATTATCTTTTCCTATTTCTTCAATTTAGAGCTGATACGAAATGATTTATGCCACCAGAGAACCCATCAACAGAGATAAAGAAAGAATTTTGTTGAAGTATTTAAAAATTTAGCCAGATGCAGATTTGAAAATAATTTTGTTGGATCATAAAAATAATTATGCGGGACACTTAAACGTTGATGATAATACTGCAAGTACTTTTAACATTCTAACAATCAGTTTAAGTGATCTATAATTATTTTGATGGTCCAACATTATTTTCAGATCTGCATCTAGCTCTTTTAGATACTTCAGTAAAATCATTCTTTTCATGTAGTAAAAGTCCAAAACTGATACTGAGGAGTCTCAAGGACTAAGGAGTACCAAGACACATAGTCTTTGTACTCGAATTGAATCTTATTTCTGAACGAATCCATCAAATTGATTGTATTTATTTATTCCGTTTCCTTGTACATTTGTAAACGATGTTTCTTCGTAAAGGTGATAGTCTTAAATGGAGAAACCGGAACAGGAAAGACCTTCAATGCATGGAAGGCGCTGGAATTCTTGACCAGAAACGCATCCCCTGAGGTTCTCGAGACACGAGATGTAGTTTGTGGTATCGTACGGAAGATTTCGGTCGCCTGCCGTTTGATATCGGCCTTCACAACCGCGCCCACTGAAATAAACAAAGTCAGCTCGAGGCATGTGCAACTCGTATGGCTCGAATACAAAATGGGTAGCATATGCGGAGCAACGATATCCTCCTATCTCCTAGAAAGGGACAGAGTCACGAAGGGTTGCTGCAATTTTCAGATTTTTAGTCAGGTGAAGGAGACTTCAGCTAGCTGTGCACATTTTTAAAAAATAATAATTTTTAATATATCGTTAATGTTAATCGGGCCTTTTGCTAAATTTCGCGAAACTGCATCTTAGATGATGAGTGCGGTAGGAAATGTAACATTCGCAGACTTCAAATTGTCGATGGATATGCGATACTTCATGATGAGCGACTGGGATTCTCTAAAAGTGCGAGAGTTCTGCGACGATTTCCGTGAGACTACAAGAGCAATGGATATGTTAGGGTTTACAGTGAGTCAGAAGAAGGACATTTTCTTCATTCTCTCTCTGCTCATTCACATGGGTAACATACAGTTTATGGAGGAAGACGATCGTTGCAAGATCGATACCAATGATCATCGTACGTAATCTCTCGATGACAATTATATTAATTATTTTACGTAATATAAATCGCGAAACTCATACAGTATTTTATCCGAGAAACATCCTGGGAACATCCTTAGGACGTTCAAAAGATATATGAGAGCCATGGGAATTCTCCTTTCTTTTAAAGCCTCATTTTTTAAAATATTAATATTCATAAATAAATTAAATAAATATTCATAGCAAATATGTTGTTATATTTACTTTTAATATTTCTAAACGCTTTATCACAATTTTGATATTCCAAAAATATTTTTTTAAGACACTTCTAAATATAAAAACATAGATTCTATTATATTACTCTTCTTTTATGTTAATATAATTTTAAATAAAACGTTTAATGAATTACACATTTAAATAACATTTTTTTAATGTAATAGTTTAAGTAATAATTTGATATTCTATCTTATCATTTTGACTTAAAAAAGATTTCGCTTGCGGCAAAGTCAATAAACTTCCTTAACAAAAGGGATTTCCGCGAATGATGCGTCTTCTCTCAAAAGACATAGAAATGTTCTTTGAATGTCTTTAGGACATCCCTTAGAAGTCTGTACTGTATGGGAAATGCTTTTCATTGGTAATAAGCGGTATGAAGGAAAAGTGAAAATTCGACAGATATCATGCGATTTTCAGAATCTAGAGAAGCCTTGAATAACACATGCAAGTTGGCCTGCATCAAAGAAGAAGACATCGCTGAATTGCTCACATCTACTTTAATAAACCCTCAAAACACCCGGCGTCGACACACCATTTGCCGACGTAATCTCAACACGACAAATGCCTGTCGCTACCGATTGTACAGCATCATCCGCCACTTGTACGATCTTCTTTTTAGCTGGCTGATCAACTTCGTAAACAAAATCTTGTCCGCCCGTTTGTACAGCGAGCGATTGGGTATTAAAGATGTTTTCTTCCCTTACAAAAATCTAATTTGATACTAAAATTACTTTGAAGGCCTAGTTTAGGCCTAGTTTCACAATTGACTATTAACTCTTAACTGAAGTTCAACTTATTCATTCTAGAATTGGAAAAAGATGAGAAATAAGTTGAATCTCGGTTAGGCATTGTTCAATGCCTTTAATGTTTAAAATAAGTAATTAATTATTATCTACCAGTACATATTAAATTTTTATAAGAATTAACCACTTCAAAATCTATAAGGACAAAACCGCTTTAAACAACAAAAGGCAATACATTATTCCATGAAAAAAAATATGATTTTGCAAATATCGACCGATATTTCTCGCGTTTTAGGAATATTGGACATCTTCGGATTCGAATGTTTTGATTCAAACGGCATCGAGCAACTTTGCATTAATTTTGTCAACGAGAGATTGCAGCAATATTTCATGGAAAACTATCTGGTGTCCTGCCGGAACGATCTACAAAAAGAAGGTCTCATCGACGATGAGGAATCGTTCACAATTGTGCAATTGTACGAAGATCGCATAAGCACGATCGAAAAATATTTATTTACTGCCTTAAACGATGTAAATATCTTACAAATATTTAATAAATGATATCTATTAGTGTGGGAGAATTAACGATGAACATTTTCGCGTCACAGATATGTCTATCGATTGTTCCGAATAGCTCGTCTACATTAATACGCCAAGTGAACGCTAAGAACTGTTCTGCAACAAGACGATTTTTGAACGTAAGGAAAGAAAATTTTGTTATACAGCATTATTGTGGTACCGTACAATATTCCGCTTACGATCTGCTTTCCAAGAATACTGATAAGGTAAACCAATTATGGTAAATAACAAAAAAAGTTTGTTATTTTTTCATTATCTTAAATAAAATTTAAAAATTCGAACTTTTTAAAAAAAGAAAAAAACTTCTTTTCCATATATAAAAAAAAAGAGTAAGAGAGTTTCATTAGAAAAACATGAAAAGTAAGTTAAATTAAAATTAAGCTACAGTAATAAAAAACGGATATTGGAAATACATTTAAAGATCATTTAGCAGAATATACAAAATATTAAGTCGATGTAGAAAATTTGTATTCGTCTGATTATAATTCAAAACAAAATTTTGGTAAAATCAAATTCAATATATCCATTAAATTATAATTTAATAACTTAATGGATAATTTTGCTTTGATTTTATCGAAATTTTAATGCATTCGATAAGTATAAATCTTTTGCATCAACTTGATGTTACATGCTAAAGATCTTTAAATGCATCTGTATAACGTTTCTATTACTGCAGATTAACTTTAATAAAATTTAACTTTTTAATTTTTACTTTTTACATTTTAACTTTTTAACTTTATAATTTTTCTTTTTCTAGTTCTAAGAATTAGAAAAAAAATAAAAAGTAAATCAAATTGAGATAAAGGTAATTAATAGAAATTTAAATGTTTCGATTCCTATCTGAGTGCTATTTATAGTTAGTTATTTATCCTTGTTTACATTCGGTAAACAATAAAGAGGCTTATTCTTTTTAGCTGATGATCGACTATGTATCTTGAAAAAAAAAGTGAAAATTACAAAGGTGAACAAATTCGATAGGACATTTATAATTTTATTGATCAACATCTGGTGAATTTGCTTTCTTCTATATACAATCGTACAAATTTTATATACAATACCCCCTGAACTTCTTGCACGTCTACGCATCTTTTCCTTCCTTTTTTCTCCACAGAAAAAAAAAGAGAAAATAAACTGTGCAAGAAGTTCAAATAAAAAGAAAGGTTTAGGCTGAGTTGTTCCACTTTTTGATAAACTTCAACTCACTATCTTATGTTCTTAAGTTGCCTCTACATATTATTAGCAATTTTATAAATATTCATAATACGCAAAATATTAGAAGCATTTCTTCAACCTGATTTAAATTAAAATGTCAATGCTGTCGCAATTCAATTCATTAAGTGCGGTTGATTTGCATTTGCGTATATCTTGCATGCAATGATACCTTATTCTGCCAATTCTGTAACTGCGTTTAGGAAAGACGTTTTGCAGTTTGCGAATTATAGAAGCTTTACTCTTTTATTCTTTTGTTTATCCAATAAATTACCACATAGTTTATCTGAAAATGAAACAACCGATCCTTAAAGGTAAAATGATACACGAGTGATACTCGAAATAAAAATCTGAATATAATCTAACGTGATAATGCATTTACAGATTCCGGACGAGATAACGATAACATTCAGCATGAGTACGAACAAATTTCTACACTCATTAATTACCAAAAATAATCTACATCAAGTTAATGGAAAAGTAAAGAAGCCTACGATGCTTTCCAAGCTCCGATGTAATGTGGACTTGTTGATACAAGAATTAAACAAATGTGACACGCATTACGTTCGCTGCATTAAGCCACAGTATAGTATATTTAACAATAATGCATAATCAAGTTTACTTTTTTATACAATAAAAAATGCACCTTGTAGGCGACTCAACAATCACGAGTGGGATCGAGACAATCTTCGCAAGCAATTGGCTAATACGGGTGTTCTTGACGCGTTACCACTGGCCAGATGTAAATATCCGATTCATTTCATCTACTGGGATTTCTTCAAACGCTACAGTAGAAAACGCATAGGTAAAGATTCTAAAAAAATTTTGAGCCTATTATATTAATTAATTATTTCTCCGTAGAAACCTGCAGTAATTTACGTATAGCTTGCAAAAACATACTGGAGTCATTCTTCCTGAACGACGACAATTCATCGGTGCATTACGGGAAACGTTTAATTTTTTTAAAAGAATCTATATTTCTGCGATTAGAGGCGGCTAGAAAGCGATACCGTGCCGAATGTGTCTGGAAGATCGAATCTTTTTGGTTGAAATATAGCAAGTATCTCTTTGCATGTATAAACATTCACATCTTCGTATCAATCATAAAGGCGCAATGAAAACTCGATGTGCCGAGAATGATTAATGGGTTTTCTATAATGAGTCTTAAAAAATTGACCAATAATAGTCGATTATTTTCTTCATTCGATTTTGATTAATTATTTTCTTGTGGTTTAAAATTTGAAACTTATGGCTTATTATAGAAAGCCATAAAAGATAAACAGTAAAATTAAAAATAAATAAATACATGCCACTATCCAACAAAAAATGACTCATTGAATTGACGTCGAATCGACATCTAATTGAATCATTTCTCGCTAGATAAATATCATTATATATCGTTATATTAGGTGTAGTAAAAAGAAATCCATTATTTTTCCATTCAATTTCATGCATATATCGATTAATAATTTTCGATGAAAAAATTCGGTAGACCAATCATTAAACCTGGGAGTTATACAATGTAACTTTTTCCTTAGAACGGAAACATGAAAAATGAAAATTTTGTACACACATGCATACATAAAGTTTTTCATTTCTACTCTAGAAAAAAAGTTACATCTGTTCGTGTTTGCACTTTTTGCACTCATAATCTCTTTACTTTTTCTATGGACCTTAGAGAAAGCTAACTTATAATCTTAAAACAGTATAGTCTTATGATTTAAGTCTTATGTCTTTAGTAACGCACAAGAATTGTCTTATGACTTATGTTTTAAAGGCCCCTCGTATTTATACATACTTTAAGATTTAAGTCACAAGATAATTCTTGCGCGTTATTAAAGATTTAAATCATAAGACACTTAAGATCATAAGTCAGGTTTCTGCTAAAGTCCTATCTTTAACATTCGAATATATATTATCTTGTCTTAAGTGCACAATAGTTATGGGGATTTCAAGCAATGTGAACGAGTCTATCTCGTCGTCATAGGCTGCATTCCACTTGACGCTCGCAACGCTCTTGGAATCGTATTTCATCTTAGCTATTTATCAAGTGTTAAGATATAATTTCATGCTGGCAGTCAGTGATCATTTTTAGCATTAAAACAGGCCACGTGATCAAAATTAACGAATATTAAGTTTCAATTCTAATGTAAGAGTAATTCTAATTCTAAGAATTAGAAAAGATAAACATAAGTTAAACCGAGATTAAAATTAATCTTACATTGATGAACTTAATGTCAATTTGATTATTGCTTGTTTTAACGTAAAAAGCGTTGAGTGTGAGCATCGAAAAAATTTTTAAACAAGGACAAATAATGCTTGCGAGAATTGTAAATGCCAAGTGAAATATAGCTATAGAGATTACAATTAAGAGAGAGAAAATTCAAACTAATTTCTACTATCTTTTGCGCAGAGAATTATACGCAATATAAGGAAGAGAACATAATTGATGATACTCGGGAAAATGTTAGCACCAATATCCAAAATGAATTAATTGAGGAATCTCAATCAGAATTTAAGACCGTCGCGTTTGTATCAGGAATGAATTATGCAGAACAGCACGAATCGCAAGATGTAAAAGAAACTTCAGAAAATACGGAAAATGATATTCAAACGATCGTTCAAAAAAATTTGCGCGAGCAATCTCAATTCGAGAGATCCCTGTTAGAATACGAACGTATTATACCAATACAAGATTGTCCACGTTTCATGTCTGGAAAATATGTAGAAATATTGACAACATTAGCAAAAAAAACTGCATATATATTACATTGGCTAGATGGTGTGAATAAAGCAAAAGATACAAAAAAAAATAAACCATCGATATTAGAACTGCTGCGAGAAGAGTACAATAACGATCAATCAGACAGTAGCAATTGCTGCGAGGATATTCAATTACAAAATCATAAATCTTTAGATAATAAGTTTCATGTACAAAATAAATGTGAGGAGAATCGTGCATATTATAACGAGGCAAGTAGCATTAATAATATGATATATTGATGATATACTTTATCCGTTTATATTCATGAAAAACTCTTATTTAGAAGGAAGATTTGTATATTATACAATGTGGTGTTTTTACGCTATTTTACAAAAATGGAATTTTGAGTCGACGACGTCCAGCAAGGGTAAAGTATAAATTGAAACTGTGAAGAAAAATTACATAATTAAAAAACGTGCTTTATTATCTTCTTTTAGCTACCAATTAAAATACATACTCGTCTCAGGTGTCTACCCAACTCACATTATTTGGTACATACGGAGTTACCACAGGGTCTACAGGATTGTCTTTAAAAAGAATATTTGTATAAATATAATTCTTAATATTTAGGAGAGTCCCCCTGAACTCTCTACACTAAACACATATATACGTACAAATAATTTTTATCTAATTTATATTGAGGTAAAAAAATTCATTTAATTTAAAAGATTTACATGCAAACTTTTAAGAACTTCTTTTGTCTCGACTGACGTGAATAGGAATTCGCGTTAGAAAATAAGATTAACGACATGCTAGTAGAGACTAGCATCTAAAAATCATTAAAAAATAGAAGTTTCATGAAAGAAAAGTAATGACAATCTCTTTAAGTTTTAATTAATAAAAACGATCTGTATACAGCTATAACTATTTAATACAAAACGAATAATTATATATGACAATACTTGTACATGTAATACTAAAATGTTCGAATGAAGCTTATACATATCTTTATAGATTATAGAACAATTACAGACAAACATTTGCTAAGTTATAAAAGTTGTAAGGACCCTTCTTTTTATCTTTAATTACAAGTAATCTGCGCGATGCGACTAAAGCAAGAGTGGCTTGAAGGTCACTTCTTAGAATTTGATAATTAGCTCTTAAACTGACACGTCTTAAGTTATTTTGTGGCACCGGACGGCCACCAGCGAACGCAAATCTGTAATCACGTTTAAATTATATAATAAAAATGTTACGCATTCATGTAACTATTTGCTATTAATTTTATGATACACACCTTATTTCTCGTCTCGGCCCTCTCAGAGTGGAATCTGGAAATGCCGTTTGTCGATCCCACAGCATTCTGGTGTTAAGCAACGATCTGACTTCTACGTATCTTATCTTGCTTTTAACGATGATAGGCAGTGTGCCAATTTTCTTATCTCTCCTTTCTCTTGCATTATCATCACGATTAGTAGGTATATACGGTAATAACGAGTCTCCGTAATGCTCAATAAAAGGAGTGAGGTTTAAAGAATCCTGCGATTTCATAAGGGCACAAATAGCTAGCTATAATAATTACAAAAAAATTAATTAAAGAACCATATACCAAGGATTAGAATATAATATTGATACTAACAGCTATTCGTTCCCAAATAACTGAACCAAACGAAGCGTAATAATATAAAATATTTTGTATGGAAAGTGTGTGCGCGGTGTCATGTTGAAAAAATATAAGAGGCTGAATGCTCGCTAACAATTCCACAGCCATTATCCTTTTTTTGTAAAACTCAAAGTTTTCCATTTCACACTTTAAAAGAACATTCTCCAATGTTGGTATATACCTGTCCATAAATATTCAAAGAAGTTAGTTTTTTTATGAAATTATTTTACAAAATAAATACAAGATTTGTTTAAAAGTTCTATATTACTTATCGGCAATCGATGGCCAGCGAAGCATCAATTTCAGCACGCACTCTTTGAAAAGCACCTCCAAATTTGGATGTATGAAACTCTGACCCAACAATAATTCTAACAATAATTCTGTTAATTTATCCACCTTTAAATAAGCACAAAGATTTAAGATTCATTTTGAGTACAAATTTACAAAAGATGACTATCATTTTACAATTAATTACCGAAACTAAGTGATAGGGATAGACAGCTTCGCTGTTACTGGCAATGGCAATTATAAGTTGACACGTCCGTGTAGAAACACGTGTATATTGTGCATTATTTGAGATTACCATAGACCTAGCAATGGACATCAATTTGTCAATAACTCCTTCATCCCCTAAATGAACGTTTGTGGCACAGTCATTAAGTAAGACCTAGAAATATAAATAATAATGTTGCATTTATGATAATATTAAAAATTAATTCATATGTATGTGTTTTATATACCTGAAAGGTTTTTTGTGAACCATTAAATAAAGTTTTCAACGCGCGTTTGGCATAATTATGACGCGCTTCTGTGAGCTTCAAATCACATATCTCAGATTCTAAAAAAAAAAAGAATTTTAACACAAATTAAAAGATTATATTGAGAAATTAGCAGCAATTTCAAATTAAAATTATGTTTTATCAAATATAAATTAAGAGATTCATCATAAACATAAATTTTAAAAAAACTTGCCTTGCAAAAATGGCACATTAGTTTGCGTCAGGCACAACGGATCATTCATTTGATTAACGAGATTAACAATAGATTCGCTAGGCACATACACCTTTGCTTCTGTATGATACTCTGGTAAGGATTCTGGTGCACCAAAAACTGGATCGGCATCACATAAGCTAGTGATTACTGCATTTACATCCATAGATGTCAGACGTTTCCTCTTACTATGTCTTAGTCTTGTAACACATTTCTAAAAATGAATATTTTATAGAGATGATCAACATTGTAAATGTTAAACTATTAATCTTTCAAAATTCTGTGTCTATCTAACTTGATAAAATTCTCGATCTTTGCTCATTGAGAAAAATTTAAATTGCTAAAGATTAAATAGGAATTATATTAAATAGAAATAGAATTATATTAAATAGGAATTGTATTGTATTTACATGTAAAACTTCTCTTAAACGATAGGAAGCATCTTCAGCTAATCTTTTTAATAGAGGATCTGGCAAGGGATGCATGCCCAGTTCCTCGCCGATAGCAGAGACCCATTCAGTGCTGAGCATAGCGTATCTCCTCGAATTATTATCGATTGTAATACTGCTGGTTCCTGCATCTCGATTATTATTGTTATTAACAAATGAGCTACAGTATCCCATAGCTTGATTCGACAATAGCTCTTTCATGTCTGCTTTTTGTATCCACGCAGAATTCACGACTAGAGTCTGTCAAATTTATTATACGCGGATATCTTGACGAGGCACTGGTCAACTATAAATATAGACAAAAACAAAATTATTTTTAGAGGTTAATATTTAGAATTCGCGAAAGAGAAAAAAAGTTAAAAGTCCAAAATATTCAACTTGAATGATTATTGTACGTACATATATATACCCATTGATATATATTAATTTTATAACAATAACGTTCTTCTGAAGTAATTATCGAACGAAATAATTATCTTGTAATAAATATTTCCGTTATATCTTTTCGTGACTAAATAAGACCCTTTGAGGTTAGATAATAAAACAAGCGACTATAGAAGAGACATCTTACTGTGGTGATGAAAAAAAAAAACAAAAAATTTGTAATTCAGAATTATTCTGGTAGAGGGCTACTGTTTATCAACACTGTGTTCCAAAACTCATTAGAAAATTCCGTAGTGCGTGATTATTCCGGCAGAGGACCTTCACTTTTAACATTTGTTCCTAAATTCATCACAAAACTCTCAAAAGAAAGGCGGGAAACTCAGCAACACAAAGCAGAAGAAATGCAGAAAATAAAATACAGAATTTACAGGGAATGTGTGACAGATTGATGGTTTATTATTATTATATACATACAATGCTTTATGTTGCATATTATCGTATATAGTATACTCAATTCTGTAAGAATTACAGAACGCAATTCTACAATTCATTGAAAATTATTTCTGCTAAGATATGTGTACAAAAATGTTATTCTCTCTTTTTAGGAGGAGTGATAAAAGTTTTATTTAAAGAGGGAGCAGAGACTTCACATCCTAAAAAGTTTTAAAGGAAACAAGAATGGAACCCCCGCAGGAATTTCCATTTCCCTTCCCAGCATACGAAATCCAGAAACGATTTATGAGAGAACTTTATGTTTGCTTGGAAGGTGGTAAGCTGGGTCTCTTCGAAAGTCCCACAGGAACTGGAAAGTCCTTGTCCCTAATTTGTGGTGCGCTTAAGTGGTTGGTTGATCACGAGAGATGGAGAAAGGAAGAGTTAACTTCGACGATCGCTCAAATAGATGATAAATTAAAAAGCTGTGAGAAACTATCTGATAATTGGTTTACTGTGCAGACGGAGCAAATAGAGCTTAATGCTGAGAAACAGCCGTTGCAAGCCAAGCTAAATGCACTTCTTGAGTATGAAGGCCAAAAGGAGAAACTTAAAAAGATGATTGTTGAATCAAGGAGAGCGAAAACAACTGGAAAACTGAGGCAGCAATTCATCAAAAGAGTTCCAGAGTCAGATAAGACAGAGGAAGTGAATCCTGATGTCTGTGATATCGAGAAGGATCTTATCTTGGAAGATGGATTATCAAACTCAGAAAGTTCTGAAGAAGAAGACACGGATGAACCTTTATTTAAGAATACCAAAATCTTCTTCTGCTCTAGAACACATTCACAATTGACACAGTTTGTCCATGAATTGAAAAGATCTCCCTATTCTCAAGAGATTTCTGTAGTACCGCTCTCGTCGAGGTTATCTCTTATTTATTTTTAATATTTTAATATATTATCTAGCTCTCTAAAATTTATTAACATCTTATTTTATTCTAGACAAAATTACTGCATCAACAAAAATGTCAAGAGATTGAAGCACATCAATCTGATAAATGAAACCTGCCTTCAGCTGCAAAAAAAGAAGACTACTGTTAAGAAAGAAAAAGATCTAAAGAGATCAAAAACTGCAAGCAGTTGCCCATTTATACCAGGTGATCAGAAACTTTTAATGGCTGAGATTCTAACAAATATTCAAGATATTGAGGAGATAACACAGAAAGGACAGGAAAATAACACTTGTCCATATTATGGCTCAAGAAAATCTCTGCAAAATGGACAATTAATATTAGTACCATATAATTCTATTTTTCATAAGAACACCAGAGCCAGTTTAGAAATAGATTTAAAAGGGAATATATTAATAATAGATGAAGCCCACAATTTGCTGGACGCCATCGAAAGAATGCACAGTTCTGTAATTACTGGGAGAAATTTGCTTCACTGTTACAGTCAGCTGTCGCAATATCAGAAAAGGTATTGTTATACTTCTTTCGATTTGAATTGTTTTCAATTAAATAAATTTCTGACTGTAATATGATTGTAGATTTGAATCTTTGTTCTCTGCTAAAAGCGTGATGTATTTAGGCCAATTGAGTTTTTGCTTGAAGAAGCTTCTAACTCTCTTTGGAGCAACAATGAAATCTCATCCCAATGACGCGATCGATAAAACAATAGCACCCAAATTATACAAAATAGAAGATTTCGAAGTGCTTACAGAGATTGATACAGTAAACATCTTCAAATTATTAGAATTCATCAAAACTTCAAAACTAATTCATAAATTACAAGGATTTGTTGAACAATATGGCAATAATATTAAAATTAATGAACAAAAGACAAAGAAATCTGGCATAACAGAATTTTTAAACTCGATTAAAAATAATGATGTATCCTCTCAAGAAACTATTAGTATTGCGGACACATCAAGCAACAATGAAGAACAGACGAGCAATCCTTTGATGGCAATCTTAAGTTTCTTGGAGTGCTTAAAAAACAGCTGCGCGGACGGCAGAATATGTGTTCTACCTAGCACTACTGTTGGACAAGGAATTATAAAATTTCTATTGTTGAATCCTGCAGCACATTTCCATGACATCGGTAAACAAGTACTTTGAAACTTAATATACATTTTCTCATTTTTATCTTTTTTTTTTTGAGTATTTTAAATTTTTTGTCACAAATCTAGTGAAAGATGCCAGATCTGTGGTACTAGCCGGTGGCACAATGGAACCAATGTCCGAATTCGTAGATCAACTATTCTTAATGGCGGGTGCTACACTAGACAGAATTATGACATTTTCGTGTGATCATGTAATTCCCAAGGAAAATATCATATCCAATGTTGTAACGCGTGGTCCGACTGGAATTGAATTCGAATTTAATTATCATAGTCGACAAGATATAAAATTGGTAATAGAATTATTTTTATCTCTTTGATTATTATATTGTTTAAAGAGAAAGATGTATGTACTTAAAAAAAAAAGAATATCAACAAAGATTGATGTTTTAGCTGGATGAATTAGGTAGAGTATTATTAAATTTATGTAACGTTGTACCAGCTGGAATAGTAGTATTCTTTCCATCTTACAATTATGAAGACACAGTATTTAAGCATTTAGATAAATCTGGCGTTATATCCAAAATTTCTACAAAGAAATGTATCTATCGTGAACCTAAATTAGCATCACAGGTATTTTTATTACAAGTTTTCTAAAAAATAACTAATATTACTTATTTAATTTTAACTAATATTACTTATTTAATTGTATTAAGGTTATTTATTTATATGTTTATTAATAAATAGCTAATATTAGTTATTTAATTTAAATTAATCAAACAACATTATCTTTAGATCAATACAATATTAGATCAATATGCACATTCTATCAAGAATCCACAATCCTCGTGTAACGGAGCGTTATTGTTCAGCGTAGTGGGTAAGTAAATTAAAATTATATCAATATAAGAATCTTATTTGTATTTTTATTTATACTATTTTTTCAGAAATATTGAATTTTTTAATTTACGTGATATTTTGTAGGTGGTAAATTAAGCGAAGGTTTAAATTTCTCTGACGATTTAGGTCGATGTGTCATAGTCATTGGCTTGCCATATCCTAATATTAAATCATCAGAATTACAAGAAAAAATGAAGTATTTAAACGAGAATGTTGTACGTACTCAGATTTCTTTATTGCAGAACTTAGAGAGTAGTTTGATTTTATATAAATTTTATATCTTCCATTTTTTCATTTTCCAATTTTTGTTTTGTAGAAATCGGACGCCGGAAATAATTTTTACGAAAATTCTTGCATGAAAGCAGTGAACCAATGTATTGGTCGATCTGTTCGTCACATTAATGATTACTCGACGGTTGTACTGTTAGATAAACGTTATTGTCACAAAATCAAAGTACTACCTCAATGGATTCAACGCTCCGTGACGATTAATAATTCATTTGGTTCTGTAGTTGGTAACATCGCAAAATTTTTCGCAGCGAAAAGATTTAAGAAAGTTTAATCTGTGATAATAAATCGATTAATTAGAATTACAAAATTACAAATGGTCGTTACTAATATCTGTAATAATTTTTCTAATATCAAATCGACTATGTGATAATTTAATAATAATGTTTTACTTAATGATATAATTGTGTTTTTAGTTGATACTTCATAATTATACTACTTCATAATTATAATATGAGGACCGAATTATTTTCTATACCAATACAAGTTCGATGTTTTTCTAATTTAGAAACACGTCACATGTAATTGGCCAATTGGATGCCAAATTTATAAATTAAATCATGACAATAGACATCTCCTGGTCGTAAAATAGAACAGGGAAAATGCGACTAAAAGAAAATTAACTTGAATGTAATAAGAAACATAATCCTGCAATATCTTAATCGCTTTACTACTCACATAATTAATAGCATTTGGATAATTTTGCGGTTGAATACTGAAAGCACAATGCTTCACGTAGCGAGCACCTTGCTTTCCTGAAATAAATTTCTGTAATTCGCCTTCAGGTGCCACATCTTGTTCCATCTCATCAACAGCCTTTTCTTCCTTGTATTCCTCTTCATGATTCGAGCTATCATTATATGCACTAGCAGAATTATTTCCAGTCTACGATAACGATATATTTTTTGTATTTTGTTCAAGATGGATTATTATGTATTTCGATTATCATCGCATTTATAGTACCTCAGAAGTATTACATAGACGACCACCTGTGTAGAACTGTACGCCAGGCTGATTTGAATAAATCTCCAGAACGCTGTATATGTTTATTTATAATTCCAGAATATTGCTACAATGAACCTGTGCTATGAATAATATAATTGTGAGCCTTACCGACCACTTTTCGGATGGATCGCTTGAGCGACGTATGCATTACCACCATGCCAATTTGGTGTGACGCAGAAGTTATGATCGTATCCTTCTCCCGGAGGAACCTGCAGCTTACGCAAATTCACAATATCTTTTTACACAATTATTAGATAATGATTCATCTACTGTAATTTGCATGAATTTCAATTTGATGCCTTCTCGATACAGCTTTCCAGAAATTTCGGTACACGCAAATCCATGATGGTTCCTCCGACCCCTCGGATGCTGCCGGTTGGTATTGGATCCGTATAATCCGCGAAGGTCCAGCGGTCACAGTTCAACGAGATCTTGTGCTTCATCAATTCCTCTTTACCAGCGTCCTATAATTATATCTAATTAAGTAGACCTGCCACACAATTTCTTACTGAAACTAGAACTGTTTTTTAGTATAGAAATAAAAAGAAAAAGTATTAATTAAATCATTGTTCTTCATATTTTTAGGGTGGTTCCAGTTTCAACTATACTAACACACACAGGATGTATAATTACATGTCCAGCGAGGTTGAACAAAGAACCGTGCGAGATGTTCACTATAGTGGAATTTGTCGTTGTTGCCCGGATACCTATTTCCAGCATATTGTCAGGCATTAATTTGAATCTCACTGTACTCAATACTGCACCGGGATATCCCTCTTCACCGTCTTTACTTAGATAAGTCATGACGACTGAACATCCATCAATATGCGATTCCCACAACTGCCGACCAAAGCCTTTTGTCTGAAATAAAAGAAAATGTCTAGTATAAGATATTTAATATGAATTTGTTAATTCTTGAATGGACTGATAACACAACAGACTTACACCTCCATGCAGATGATGCTTGCCGAAATCATTTTTCGTTAACTCATAAGTTGTGCCTTTAATGACAATACTGCTATCTCTTATGCGATTTGCGCATCTGCCCAGGATACATCCTATAAACGGATTAATCTTGGGATTTATATAGCCTGAAAAAACACGAATCGTTTCCATTAATTATTTATAAAATTAATTGAGAGCGATGAGATTAAATGAACATGATGGACAAATATGTAATTACGTCAAGAGTTCGTACTCTCCAAATTATCGAAACCAAGCACAACATCCGCGACACACCCAAATTTATCGGGATACTTTAAAGAAACAATTGTCGCACCCCAGGAAATGACGGTGATTTCTAAGTGATTCTTATTAATCATCGTGTACGATTTTACTGGCATCAACTGGAGTTCTTTATTTTCAACATCCTCTTTGCTGTCATAATGTATTTTATCCTCCGCAGATTCTGTAATTAAAATGGCTTTTACATCATTCTATCACTGATACAGAAATAGGGCTGTCTCATGAAATAATAAAGCACCGGCATAAATTTTTCCAAATATTCCTTCCGTGATTGTAACATCCTTGCAATTGCAATCGTAAGTAACCATGTTTCATTTCTTAACGTTATCCAGTTTGCTGTCAAATCATTTGTTGCAAATGTAATGAAAACAAGAAATTTACTATTCAACTTCGTGTCTACATCAAACAATTCGTGACATTAGTTTTTATGATAAGAATAACAGGAAAATATTATTTCGACATTTTAAATACTTTTCGTTGTTTCGACATCAGAAAATCGTCTAAAAAAAAAATGAAAATTTTATAGGCTCAATTGTATTGTAAACCACTTTAAATTTTTTTAAAGAATTATTATATTTTGTAGGAATGTGGAAGACATTAAATGATCGCTCAAAGAGCTAAAATTGATGCTGTTATTTAAAATTATTTATTAATAATAATAAAATTATGATGAGAATAAAAGTAAAAATAAGAGTAAGTGTAACGTATTATTTATAGTTCATAAAATGTTATCATAATAATAATACAATATGCTAAAATAATAAAATAATAAACCTATTTTATTATTATTCTTATTATCATTTTTATGTATACTTCAGTTATTATTTATAATTTTTATATAATTAATATTTATAGTGTAATGTACAATACTTGGAAAAAATACATGAACTTTTAGTGCAGGTCAGACATCATACAAACACTTTTTCTGAAGTTCTCTCTTCGTAGTTAGGAATAAAGACAACACATTAAAAAAATCGAAGACAGAATATGTTATTATGATATATTTTCCGTTTTTAAACAATCGAGTTCTCAGAGATCCGTGAAATTAATATTTATTCGTTTATTATCTTCCTGCTCGTAGATAAAAATCGATCTCCTTTTTGGTAATCTACGCTCATCGCCTAAGAAATCGGTAAAAGAAAAAGATTAGATTCTCGGATCGAAAGTGAATACTCCCGCGAAATACTTTACGCGAAAAATCGCCGCGATAAGAGTTATATTACATTGAAAAATTTTCTCGTCGAAAGCTTTGGATTTTTGCGATGTTTCTCATTTACTTTAAGGCGCGCACCGAAGCGATTCATTATTCTCACTTAAATACACGTGGAACACATTGCACTTAGCTTAACATACTTATAAACTATAGAATTACTCCATTAAATAAATTGCCTGTGACCTGATGAGTTGCTGTTACGTTCTACATTCTTTACAGTTCATGTATTACAAAAAGGAATACTGACAAAAAAAAATTTTAACTTCGCGTATTTATGTATATGTATGTACCAAACTGTGATAGCCCCGCGCCGATAAGTCGTTTTTATATTTATGAAATACATTAAACTTTCTACACACGCCAGAAGCGTACAAATAGGAGCTACCACAGCGCAGAATATGTGTACATCGAATAGACAATTCATTTATAATTAATCGTCTTGGTCGTGGTCGTTATTGTACAATTTGCTAAATCGCGCAAGCTGCATGCAATCTCGATACAATCTGTTACGTCATAAAGTATATTTACACCTTTTAAATGCAACATTATAAGAAACAGCATTTCAGAGAGCAAACGGGATCCTCCATCATATGTTTCACGAGGCTGATGAGTATTTTTTTTGTTTCAGTGCCTTAATGTCCACTCTCGTTAGGTCTAACTAAACTAATGAGGACTACATTGTAAATGTGAGTTGCATATTATATATTACGTAAAAACAGGTGTTAGAGAGAGTCTCGCGTTACGATCCACATTCGTATGCTATTTCCCTCACATAAATTTCATAAATTTATCCTGTATCAAAGTGTGTCATACATGTAACAAATGGCAGAGAGAAAAGAATTAAAAGGATGAGAAGAATTCAGTACTGTATAACATTAATTAAAAACGTTAACTGTTTAAAGGAAGAAATTCATTTCTTTTATACAATTTTAAATCTGACAAACTAGAGTTGTATGTAACAAGAAGATATCTAAAAGAAGAATTATAAATTACTGTCATTGGTATATATTATTAATATATGTCATACAAACGATACATGATAAATTTATTAAGTTTTTTTTACAGTGAGATATATTTATAGATTGATATTATATAAAGAGACCTCAGTTGTGTTTGATATGATACAACGTAATTTATCTCGTAAATATAT